CTTTGGTACTACCATGATGACTAAACTGAATCTGATCTCACCCATTTGATGATCGATTTATTTAATTTGTTAGAAAATGCTATAGAATTTCATCAAATTTACTCTAGCTCCTTAGGACTGAATAAATATTTACTGTTTGGTAGCAAGAAACAAAAAAACAGGAACCCCCAACAAAAAGCAAACCTGGGTTGACTATAGCAGAGATTACAAATGGCAGCAAAAACAATAATGGGTTAAACATCTAACTTAAAAAAAAAAAGTCTTTTTGCAGACCGGTTTTACTGACCTCTCTCACAACAGTACAGGATTTATTATGCTAATCATTTACTGCTTAATTGGTTACAGCTAATTAAGATTACCATTATGCTTTAAGGACATAACACAGAGCTAGATTTTGCATAACTTATGCAAATGATGGTAATCAAAAAATCTACATGTACTAACACATTTTTGGTGGCCAGATGAATTCATTTCATGATTTCCCAGAGTCTGGCAATGAAAATGTATTAACTGAGTTCAGAGCCTCCCTCCGTTAACAGAAGACATGAGTTTGGGATGACATAGGCCTGTTTGGGGCATTTGTTCCCTTAAGTCTGGCTAGGAGGTAGGGGTTCTCAGTGTTCCCAATGAGAATCTGCCTGGGACTCTTACTTATTCTGTGGGTCTGGGCTCCACACTAGTCTACTTGCATGTACTGGTGGGATTTCTCTAGAATCGACACTAACTTTCTGCTCCATAAGAAAGCGTGGAGAATGACTAACCAAACATACCAGCTGAGAACAACAGACTAAAATGGGAGACAGTTTTGGGTAGCCTATGTCTCTATCTCTTCATTCTGCTCAGATCTCTAGGCTTCGGATCCAGAATAAACCTTTCTTCTCTTCTATTCAAGATTCTTCCCCTTCCTCATAATCCTCCCAAACTGTCATCAGAGGTATCCAAACCACTGAATGCCTGCTAGAAACTAACAACCCCCGAAATGGACGAGTCAGATCTGGTGCCACATATCCTATCGGGTCCAAGGTTGAGGGTTGGCAAACTGTCCAAGAGTAGTGTGGTATGTTGTCTGCATAGATGGCTACTAAAAATTGCTCCCATCTCTGGATATGCAAGCCACTCCTCCCATTGAGAGGTGGAATCTAGTTCCTTTGCCTTTGAATCTGGACCAGTCCTGTGATTCGCATTAGCCAAAAAGATATGGCAGAAAAGATGCTATAAAACTTCAGAGCTTAGGTCTGCAGAGGCCTTGAGCCACTTTGTAGAGAAGCTGAACTGCTGCTGGAAAGAGAAGTCACATGGAGAGTGAGAATGAGGCACTGAGGATGAGAGACTCTGAAGGGAGGCAGGCCCAGCCAGCCTCCAGCCATTCTAGCTACAATAGCTCAGATGCCAAGTAGGTGAGTGAGGTCACTGATGATTTCTCTGGCCCAGCTGAAATGCCCCAGACAAAACCATGTGAAACAGAGATGAGCCATCTCTGAAAGCCCTGGCCAACATGCAGAATCATCAGTAAATGCTTCTTGATGTTTAAAGTCACTACATTTTGTGGTAATTTGTTATGCAGCCATAGGTAACTGAAATGAGTGGGAAATATCATTTACCAGTGTTAGTTACAAAGGGTTAAACATAATTTATTCTGAAATATAAAAAAGGTATGCATATACAGACTTCAAATATTTACATTGTTAATCCATTTATTTGTTTGTTACAGGGACTCAAGTTTCAAAGACTGTATTACTTTTTCCATCGGCATAAATAAAATGTATAATGGTGATTTCTTTCACAATTCTAAACTACTGGAAGCTTGGAAAGTTGTTCTATAAGCAAAGACTATGGGTAAGTATCTCAGATAAAGCAAAACTTGGAGAAGCCTTATGTGGGAACCATAATATAATGGTAGACACTTTCTCAAGTATTTCCTGCCTTTTCCTGAACTCTTGTTCTAACAAGTTCTTGTCCAGTTCTTATTAGGTTTGACCATATGACCTGCTTTGGGCAATAAAATGTGAGTGGAGGGGACATTAGCCAGTACTGAGTGGGAGCACGGAGAGCCTTTGTCTCACACCCCTGCCATCTCTCTCACCCACTCCTCTTTCCTGAGGCCAGCACATCTCAGATAAGGGCTGCTCCTTCGGCCTAGGTCCTGCCATGATGATAACACAAAAAAGAGATGCAGCCAACCCATGAAAAACATGTGATATAAATCTTTATTATCATGTAAGGCACTGAGACGTTGAGGTTGTCTGTAAACAGAGAAAGTAGAACCTATGATGATAGATGTGTGTGCGTGTGTATATATACACACCCACACATATATAGTCACGTATTGCTTAATGACAGAGATACGTTCTGAGAAATGTATCATTAGGTGATTGTCATTGTGCGAACATCATCAGATGTACTTACACAAACCTAGTGTACTTACATGAACCTAGATGGCAGAGTCTACTATGTACCTAGGCTATGCTGTCATATACGTGGTCGGTTGTTGACCAACTTCAGTACTTCTCAACTTATACATCCAAATGGGCAAGATGACCTCTGCTCTCATTCAGTTCTATTTCAGTTAGAAATTCAATGAAATTGAAAGCGATGGGGATTAAGTGGAGAGAATCATAAGAAATGGAATAAATAAGGAAAAACCTAGGCAGCTTTCAGGTCCTAATTGCTAAAAAAAAAAAATGGCTGTTTTAAAATGACCTCGTACGTATGCAGTATCAGTGACAATACTGTTTACTTTAGCACTAGTTAGGAGAATGGGTGTGGATACATGCCCAGTATAAATTGACATGGGAACACAGACACAATATATGCATATGACACTCTTGCATGTGGGAAAATGAAATGGTTTAGTGACAGAAATCCACTATGTCAGGCTGTGTGCACACTGAAACCTGGCTGTGGGTGGTGGGAATTAGAAGTATATACTCTGAACCCTCAGAGTGGGATGGTTCAGTTATCAACAGACAATTCTGTTGTTATTTATACAGTCTGGAACTGAAAGAGCCCTTCAAATAACACTAAGCAGAGATAGCAACAACAAATAGAGCCAATCCACCTTTGAAAAAAAGCCCTGGTGTCCATACAGATCAGGTTGAGCTCAATCAACCCTGCACAGAGCAGTCTAATCCTATTTGCTTGGCACGTGTCTACCCTCCCTCCCACATACACCACTATAGCTTTTCGGCCACTGTAACCTGAGATGCACCCATCTGAGTCATAAGAATCTGACTTGATGAGGAGTTACAACTAATACCTTCCTGTTGCTTCTGAGTCATTTCTTTCCTTTCTTTCCAGATTTTTAAATTTGAGATGAAATTCCCATAACATCAAATGAACCATTTTAAAGTATACAATTCAAGGTTCATCCATGTTGTAGCATGTATCAGAATTTCATTCCTTTTTATAACCAAACAATATTCAATTGTATGTATATACCACTGTTTGTTTATCCAAGCATGTGTTGATGGACATTTGGCAGGTTTCTATCTTTTGGCTACCATGGCTTGTTCTGTTATGAACATTTGTATACAAGTGTTGTTTCAGTACCTGTCTTACACCGAGATGTGGAATTTATGAGTTACATGGTAATTCTACTTTTAACTTTAAAAAGAACTGCTAGACTGTTTTCCACAGAGGCTGTACCAATTTACACTTCCACCAGCAATGTACGAAGGTTCTGATTTCTCCACATCCTCACCAATACTTGTTATTTTCCTTTTTTAAAAAAAAATTATAGCCATCCTAGGGTGTGTGAGGTAATATCAATGCGGTTTTGATTGCATTTCCCTAATGACTAATAATGTTGGACATGTTTTCATGTGCTTGTTGGCCATTTGTATATTTTCTTTGGAAAAATATCGATTGAAGTTTCTTGCCTATTTTTTCATTAGATTGTCCCTTGGTTGTTGACTTGTAAGAGCCTTATCAGATATATGACTTTCAAGTATCTTATTCCATTCTGTAGGTTCTCTGTTCACTTTCTGACAATATCCTTTGATGTACAAAAGTTTTGATTTTGATCAGATTCAATTTTCTATGTTTCCTTCTTGCTCATGCTTTTGGCATCATATTTAAGAATTCATTGCACATCCAAGGTGATGAAGACTTGCCATTTGTTTTCTTCAAAGAAATGTTTTCTTTTAAGGTCTTAACTCTAATATTAGGTTGTTGATCCATTTTGAGTTAGTTCATGTAGATTGTGTGAGGTAGCCCAAATCAATTCTTTTGTTTGAGGATCTCCAGTTGTCCCAGCACTACGTAATTGAGAGATTATTCATTCTTTCTCCCATTGAATGCTCTTGGCATCCTTGTCAAAAATCAACTGGACATGGATCTCAACAAAAAAATCAAACTTATTTCTTCTATTTAACTGAGGCTTTGTATCCTTTGAGTATCACCTCCCCATGCTAAGAGAGTAAATCTCAAATGTTCTCATCACAGAAAATATCAAATATTAGGTGATGGATAGGTTAATTAGCTTGATCTAATCATTTCACATTGTATTAAAAAATCATAACATCACTTTGTACCTCATAAATATATACAACTATAATTTGTCAATAAATAATAAAAAACAAAAAAATAAGTTCTAGTATCTTTCAAATCAAAAAATGGAGAAATATAAAATAAAAACTTCTACCAAAAAATCAATCGGCCATAGAGGTATGGGTTTTTTCTTGATTTTGATGACGGGTTTGGATATCACACACCTTGAAAGCAGATTAGCAGTCCTTTGCACTGCATTTTCTCAAACTCCTTTTCCTCTCTGTGCATTTTTTTTTTTTTTTTTGAGACCGAGTCTCATTGTGTTATCCAGTCTGGAGTGCAGTGGTATGATCTCAGCTCACAGCAACTTCTGCCTCCTGGGTTCAAGAGATTCTCCTGCCTCCCGAGTAGCTGGGATTACAGGCATGTGCCACCATGCCTGGCTAATTTTTGTATTTTTAGTTGAGATGGGGTTTCGCCATGTTGGTCAGGCTGGTCTCGAACCCCTGATCTCAGGTGATCCACCCGCCTCGGCCTCCCAAAGTGCTAAGATTACAGCTGTGAGCTACCATGCCCAGCCTCTGTGCACTCTTTAATTGTTGTTGTATAGTGACGACAAGCAGTGTGCATTCAAGCCCTCTAACCTATATTATTTTCATTGATTACTGTTACTTTTACTTCTGCCATTGGCTGAAGACTGAATTGCATAAACATTTTGTATCCTATAAATGTTATGTTTGTGAAGTTGTCTTAGGTATATTTTACATTTTAGCCACAAAAGAGCATATTTAATGCAGATAAACTACCATTCTATAATCAGTGAAGGGGATGAACCTTGCCAGATTTTGTTGTTTTTCAGAATTTGGAGTTGTGTTCAATGTGTACATAAATTTTTATTTCTAAACATACTGTACTAGGAGTCTTGTTTCTTTAAAAGATAGTTCTGACAGAATGATTTCTTGTCAGTAGTATGTGGTTTACAGTCAGACTTCAAGCCTGGTTCAAGTCCCAGCTCCTTCTCTTACTAGGTGGAACTTGAACCAGTTAATTAACCTCCACAAGCCTCAGTTTGCCTGTCTGTAAAATGGAGATAATAACAACACCCTCCACAGAGTTGTGAGAACCTAATGAGATAATGTGCACGGAAATACTTTATAAGGTGCTAGACAAATGTGAGTTACTGTTAGTGTGGCTTTAATTCAACATCCGCAGTGGTTGTTTTACATTATACTTAAGTCATTTATTCAATCAAGAAATATTTCTGATTATGTCCCAAGAACCATTCCGGACCATAGGCCCAAAGCTGTGAATAAGAGACACAGGAACCTCACTCATCTACTGAGCAGAAGCAGGACATAAACCAGCAAGCAAATCACTGAGGATGATGATGTCAGACAGCAGAGAGTCATATGGGGGATGTGGATGAAGAGGGCCTGGGTGAGGATGGTCAGCTGAGGAAGACCTTCTTAGAGGGGTGACACTGGAGCCAACACCTGAAGGACAAGAAAAAGCAAGAATGGAAAGATCTCGGGGGGAAGAAGACCCCAGGCAGAGAACACCAAACATGCAAAGTCATTCTAAGGCGAGAATGAATGTGGCAGAGTAAGGAACAGGAAGAAGCCAGTTAAATTCAGTTCAACAATTTTACTGAATGGCTGTTATATACCAGGCAAAGTTCCATCCTAAGTACCCAGAAGACCAGGCTGAAAAAGATTAAGTCCCTGTCACTACATGTCCAGTTTGGCTTCCGGTTTTCTATTCCAATGGCACTCACATATGTGTAAATATTCATGATGACAACATCATGACACAAGACCGTTTAGTTTCTATACAACTAGGGAAGTCTCCTTTTTGTCCACTGAAAACCAGTACAGGCAAAACCTCCTTAATTGGCCTGGTATGCAGCAGACTCTCAAGAAACAGTAGGTTTTGTAGAATGAATAATAGGTTAATGAGGCAAATGTCACATTCATTAGCCCTCTGATAGATATGAGGTAAATAGGCATCTCTAGTAATAGATCAGTCAGTGAATCAGTCAAACTAAGATAATAGGAAAACAGTATCTGTGCATCTCCAACATTTGAAGAGGAATTCAAAATAATATTGTGAATAGTTCTAAACAATTGTTTCTACAATGTACAACTGTCTGTTTCTAATATTACTCTCAATAAAGGTTGTTTAATCAGCCAGTAATGGCTATCTAAAACAGAATGTTCCAAAGGGAGATACAAAATATGAAGGGATATTTCCTGAAAACAAAATGACACAGGACAAAAATCACATGATCTCATGGCATAAGAGCAGAGGAAAGAGGTTCCCCATACAGTACAAAGTAGGTAAAGTTATATTGGCTGTCCATCTTAATATGAGTACAAATGTGTAAAATAGGCAACTGAAATTTAATCTAAGGAAATAGTTGAACATTTGCAAAGATTTAGCTACAAGGATGTTCATTGCAGGGTTGTTTCTAATATGGAAAAAAAAAGAATGAACTTAAACATCTAACCATAGAGGTAGTTAAATTAGTTCCAGTGCATTCATCCAATGAATTGCTACGCAGCCATTAAAAATGATTTTGTTAAAGGTTATTTGGTGATTTTGTTAAAGGTTATATGTTCAGAACAAATTGCTTAAAAAAAAAAAAACCGCCTTTGAGTTGTCAAATAATAAGATTCTAGGGTTACTTTACGGTTAAGATTTAAGTAGAATGGCATGAATCTCTTGAATCTGTATAGTGTTTATTTCAATAGGTAAAAAATGTAAATGGTTCTCTAGCTACTTCTGGGCGTTGGGGGCTGGTGTGGGGTATGCCTCCTTGGGAACTGCTTCCTGCTTTGGCTAGCGTTGCATGCTGCTCTGTGTCTTACCCCTTCATTGACTGTTCCTTTTCTGCCCACCAGTATCCATGACAGACATCACCATTATTCCCATATGTTCCACTCTCAAATCTACATGTGTTGCAGATTTTACTAGACTAAGAGATAAGGGTGAGGTGAGACCAGGAGGGACAGCTTCGTTAAAGCATCATCTAGCAATCCACTCAAAATTATATGTTAGACACCCATGTTCTTAAGGCTCTTCAGCCATTTTCATTGACCTTGACTCCCCAACGAAGCTCTAGCCTCTTGCTCTGACCCCTCCGGGCTCCATGTATGTATATTTGTATATTTAACTTAAACATAAACGATATAATGCTTTTTATTTTATTCCTTTCTTTTTAAGACTAAGCTCGGAAGGTTTTTCTTTCTAAATAATCTATATAGGTATTTTTTCCCCCTAAGCAAAGAGTTATCTACCTAGGAGAGAAATTATGCTAAGCCTCTTAGCAGGAAGAAGCCGCTTTTGGATTCTTAAGGTTTTTGGCCTATTATGGTTTTAGATATCTTAAATGCTGGGAAGATATGCACCAGCATATGGCCTTGGAAATCTCTACTAGGTCAGGTACAGATGCTCAACAAATGTTTTCTTAAAACTTTATTGTCTAATTTGTGTACAATGAAGATGTAATATTTAAATGACTTTTGTAAGAATATGGCAATAAAATATAGAAAAATTTAAAATTTAAGGATACAACAAATATATATTTACACAGATGTAGACATTAGCAGGAAATAGTATCTCTGGTGGATTTCAGAAACCTTTATTATCATCTTTTTTGCTTATCTGTATCCTCTACTTATTATTCAGTGAGCATATTATATAACAGTAAGATCAAAGAGTACATTTTGTTATCATTATTATAAATTTTAATAAGAAGGAATAACCTGATATTAAAGTGTAGCTTAAAAAAAAGGTTAGGATTGATTGGAATATAAAAGTTTAAGACTCTGGGAATTCCATGAATGTGTGCTGTGAGCCCAATACTTAGGAACCTATTTCACTGAATGTATACTGGAAGTTATTTATTCAAATATCATCCCAATTAAGAGAGAATCAGAAGTATTAGAAATTTGTTGGTTTATATTCACATGATTGGTTAATAATTTAGGGGACAAATGGTGTGGTCTATAGTCTCTCTTTGGAGAATTCAAATACTTTTTTGGGGGTGTCACCAGGCACAATCCTTGCAAGTGCATGAGACCAAATGCCATTAAGAATCAGAAGGCATGGCTGCCTCTCTTTAGTCCAGGGTCAGGGTGCCCTTCACATAGCCATGCTGGGGACAACAGGGACTGTAATGAAACTCCAAGGTCAAAACTATACCTTAACAAAGGCTTGTTGAGCACCTATATGTTGGCAGCATTTTTCCCATCAATATTCAAGCATAATATTCAAATAATCAGTATTCAAGCATAAAGTCAATATTCAAACAAAATATTCAAATATAAGCATAGGTATATAAAAGCCAATTTACCTGCTTTTAAAAATGTGGATAGGTACTGGGGTCCTTGACATGCTGCCTAGTCTTAATGGTCAAAGTGTGGTCTCTGGACCAGCAGCCCAGTATCTCTGGGAGCTGCTGAGAGATGCAGAATCTTGAACCCCAGCCCAGTCCTACCCAATCAGAATATGCCCTTTCAGGGGATTCCCAGGGCTGGAGGGAATGCAAAGGTTTGGGGTGTGCCTCTCTATTATTCTATGGTCTCCAACTTGAAGCATCACTCCAGGGCTTGCCATGCATGCTGCATGCTGCATTTGTGTTTACAGGGCAGATGTTGCATCTTTAGGGCAAGCAAAATCTAGTGAGAGAAGACTGCTTCATTCCATACCTTAGTTAAAATTCTGGGCTGATTATATCCTAGAATCCAACTTTCACCCCTCCTCATGATCCAAAACATGAAAAAATAAAAATAAAAAAAAAAAGAAGGCTCCTCCAACAGCACTTAGAGAGGCATGAATAATTTTTTTTCTCAGCTTAATGACTTATTTGGCTGCTGCTGGAAGTTTTATCCACTCCAGCTTAAAGAAAAGTGCTTTGTCTGAATTCTTAGACTGGTGGTTCTTGACCTATGGCCTGTATCAGAGTTAACCAGAGGGCTTATTAAAATGTAGTCATGTACTGCATAATGACTTTGGTCAATGACAGACCCCATATACCATGGTGGTCCCATAAGATTATGATATTATAATTTTAACTGTACCTTGTCTGTGTCTAGATATATTTGATACACAATACTCACTATTGTGTTACAGTTGCCCCCAGAATTCAGTACAGTACCATGCTGCAGAGGTTTGTAACCTAGGAGCACTAGGCCATACCATAAAGCCAAGGTATGTAGTGGGCTCTACACCCAGTTTGTGTAAGTACATTCTATGGTGTTTGCACGATGACAAAATTGCCTGATGACACACTTCTCAGAATGTATCCCTGTTACTAAGCGACATGTGACTCCCACAGTATCTGACTCAGAAAGTCTGAGCTGGGACCCAAGCATTTGCATTTCTAACAGTTCCCAGGGGATGCAGAAGCTGTTGGTCTCTGGTCCAGAGTCCACGCTTTGGAAATCACTCTCCTCTCTTAAACCATTCACTTTTGGTTTCTCTCATTTGGCCCTTAAAAAATAATTGATGAACAGATGGATACGTTTACTGGCTTCTATTTTTCATTCTCTCACTATGATCTGGTTGGTTTTTGTTGGTTTTTGTTTTTTGAGACAGGGTCTCGCTCTGTTGCCCAGGCTGGAGTGCAGTGGTACAATCTTGGCTTACTGAAGCCTTGACTTTCCAGGCTTAAGCTATCCTCCTAACTCAGTTCCCGAGGAGCTGGAACTACAGGGGAATGCCATCATGCCTGGCTAATTTTTTGTATTTTTTGTAGAGATGGGGTTTTGCCATGTTGCCCAGGCTGGTCTCAAACTCCTGTCCTCAAGCAATCTGCCTGCCTTGGCCTTCCAAATTGCTAGGATTACAGGCATGAGCCACTGTGCCTGCCCTGTTAGTATCTTTTGCAAATACTGTACATGACAAGTTTCTGAGGGAAAGGACTATGTCTTTAGACCTGTGGTGACCTCCTCCAAAAGATATATTCAACCCCAGTACCCGTGACTATGGCCTTGTTTGGAAATAGGGTCTTGACAGATGTAATAAAGTTAAGATGAGGTCATACTGGATTAAGATAGGCCCTAATCCAATGACAGGATTCCTTATAGGGAAAGAGGAATTTGTACACAGAGACCTGCAAAGAAAATGCCATGTGACAATGGAGGCAGAGATTGAAATGAGGTAGTCAAGGACTGCTGGCAACCACCGGAAACTAGGAAGAGGCCAGAGAAGATCCTCTCCTAGAGCCTTCAGAGACAGCATAGCCCAGAAAATACCTTGACTTCTGACTTCCTGCCTCCAGAATTGAGAAGGAAAAAAAAAAAAAGTCTGTTGTTCTTTCTAGATCAGGCAACTCTACAACCAGGTTTGTCCACGACCCTTCTGGTTTATTCCTGTATATCTCATTTCACTCTAAAAAAAATCTGTATCCATTAAATAGTCACTGTAATATAAATAATCACTTATGGTCAAGACAAGGAAAATACACTGGTACTTCCTACCTCCGTGACCT